TCATGCTACAATAATCTATAGGAGAAAATGAAAATAAAATTAAAACTGGTTTGAAAAGATTTAAAAGAAAGATGAATTTAAATCATAACATATGTCTGCTATGAACAGGTCTACCTGTGTGCTCTACGATAGTCCCGCATAAAACTGACCAGCTCTCCCACCATTATGTACTTTCCAATCACATCCTCAAAGGCCTGCATGATCAAATCCTGTGGGAAAAATAGAGACATTTTCAGCAATTATAATTAAGAAAGAAAAATTTTAAAACTTTGATACCTTTCAGAATCTAATTGGGGAATCTAATCCAAACAATAATTTATGAGGTTAGCCAAATAAAAGTTGTATCTGCTTTATCTATTAGCACATTACGGATACCTCAGCAGCTAGGAGGTTCAACCATTTCTCTTTAAGGTTAGCATCCTGTTTTATGGCTGATTCAGAGTGATCCACAACGTTTCCACGGTGCAAAGCCAGCCGCAGATCGTTGAGAAAACTGACTCACACAATCGCGGTTTCTAAAAAAAGAAACTCATAAGCACAGTCTTCGATGTGTGACAGTCCTCTGTTGGGAAACTGACGATCCTCTGTCACCATTAAGGTTTGGGGATACTGAGTTGCTGATGACAGTGTTTCATAATTTGCTATCAGGTATTCCTTCAATAGGCTGCTGATTTCATGACGTCTGATAGCTGATGCGCGTATTGCCTCATTTGTTGATGTCATGTTCATTCTAACATATTTTTGATAACTTGTGAGAACCTTGCGAACCGCCCATGCACCAATGTGACGAATTTTTAGCTAAACCCTCTCCAGGCATACTACAAACATCAAAATGGATTGGCTCTCTGATTGCTGTTTCTTGAACTCTATCCACAACACTCTTCACTACCTCCTTGTACACTTCAATCATTAGTTGAGCTCCAACAGCTGACTGGTGTACACTTAAGGGCTTGGTGCCAGTTCCAAGTCCCGCATGTATACTTGACTCCTGCAGGGGTGCTTACCATTTACATTAAACCATCCAGTTGGAGAATTCCCTGTCAATGGTAATGCATTTCCCTCCCGAATAGAACAGGGAAGCGGGTCGTGAACCTTCAGCAGCGATCCGAACGGAAATGTGAGCCCCCACTAAGGGCTTTAAGTGGTTGACTTACTTTGTTACTATGGTAACATCCTAGCATACAACCTGGCAACAGTCCAGGAGGTAAACAAAATGGCGGAACAAGGCATTTTGTTGGCCATATTGGATGAATTAGACGTTTCTGACCTTTTGGATTACGAAGATGACGTTTTTATCCTCTCCGTGGCCTCAACGCATATGAGACGAAGTGTGAACCGTATAGAAGGCTACTTTGAAGTTACAGTTCCGTCCTATTTTGGCGATGAGTTTAAAAACCACTTTCGTTTAACTCGTAACACTTATGAGTTACTCACGCGAGAAATTTTAGTGTCTGGTGTCATTAATGCAGGAAACCCATTTGGCAGGGCCCCTATCCCGCCAGAAAAACAACTTTTAGTTTATTTGTGGATGATGGCAAACGGCAGTGAAACAATGCGATAAGTGGCAGATGGATTCAACATTACGATGAGCAGTTGCGGCAGAGTCCTACAAAGAGTTAACTCTGCTGTTTTGTCGATGCGCCAGCGCTACATAAAATGGCCAAATTTTTTTATACTTTACATAAACATATTAAGTTTGGAAGATGGCAACAAAAATCACGTATTTGTATAGTTAACGTATTCATTCGAAGCAAGTTAGAAAAAAAATCGATCGCATTAAAAAACCTTTAATTGCTATGTATGTGTAATCCCTCGTTTTCTTGCGATCGCTTCCCTTTTCTTTGGTCACGAGTAAGTTAGGAATTCAAATTCTCTTTAAACTAACGGAAATTTTTTCAGTCTTTTGAAGTGATACTAGCAAAAGACAAGCTTTTGTGCTTGCCAGTGAAGTAGCTTGGAAAAGTTTATACTTCTCATATCCTTCACACACCGTAATTGACAAACTGTGTGTTCGCTTGTTTCTTTTGTTTTTTTTTTTTGAACCCTCAAGAAATGTGATTAAACCACAACAAGTGCAGAAAACATATAGCGTATTTTCTTCAATGTTTACAGAAATCATAAAATCAGATATAGAGATCGTATGAGATATAACTTGAAATGGCTATTATTGTGTGGTTTTCAGTGAATAAAATGCGAGAGATTGCCCAAAATTGTGAGGATGAAGGGATGCCAGGAACAATAGATAATGAATTTTATTGCTGCCCAGTGCTTTTATCGTGACAGGAATTTTTTAATGGCAAACTTTAAAAGTTATTTTCGTTTGGTTTTAAGCCACCTATCAGTAGTTTCTCATGTCATTTTCAGATCATACAAACATGGAATTTTAAATTTTTTAGAGTTAAAATTTTCTAAATACTATCAAGGGAACAGTAACACTCACAAAAAAATGTGCAGGCAAATGTAACTTCAAGAAAAACAGTCAGACATTCTGTTGAACCTAATTTTAAATTCATTGATCTTAAAAGAAAAATTGAATATACGAGGGTTTACTTGCCCGTAATGATAAAGTCCTCTTTAGATATGTTTATTATCTCAAAACTAAATTAATCGGTTACTTTCATTGGGTAAATAAAACTACCAAAGAGAGCGAAATAAAAAAAAGACAATAGTTTCATTGTTGTTCAAAATTAAGGTGCAGTGGATGGAACATTCATAAAGATCAAGGCACCTACTGTGGATCGAGAATCTTTGAACTGTAAAAAGAAGTTTTACGCTCTGCTGTTGCAGGTGAAATTATTTTTAATAGTCTCACAGATGAAAAATATAAACTAATATTTTTTCTGTGGGATACTATTTATAAATGAGTGTTGTAAAATTTACATAAATATATAAAACATAATAAAATAAATAAAAATAATTTGCAAATGTACCATGCCTTCACAGATTGTGTGCGACAACAACATGGTGCTGGCCTGGCTCGGTACATGACTCGAGCGTCTTGAGAAATTCAGAACTGTTTGCGACTTCAGCGAACAAATTTCCCTGTGATTATCATCTAATAGGTGATGTAGGATACTCACTTTTGAGGTATATTTTCAGATGAATAGTGTCTGATATCAATATTATGTCTCCATAGTTTAAAAAAAAAAACAATTTTTTTCCATTCGATTGAGCATCAAAATAGGCTATGTAATTGATTTTTAATAACCATTGGTTTAAGATGTTTAATGCTCTTGTCTGATTTGGTCATGGTTGACAGAAATTAAAATAAATATGAATGAATGAAGGTTACACATTTTTAACGATATGCACCTCTTAATATTGTTACAGATGGTTGATGACACATTTTCTTAATAATAACCACCAACTGGCAAATCAGATAAGGTTCAACAATGTTCTGTCATCATGCAGACAGATAATGGAACGTTCAATAAGTCTTTTGAAAGGGAGGTGGAGAAAGCTGAGCCACCTAAATCACTCAAGTGTGAAGCTGATGACAGAGATAATCATGGGAGCTTGTGTCCTGCACAACTTCGCTCTTGTTCATGATGACTTTGGCAAAAGCTACTTTCTTCATGATGACAATGATGATGATGATGATTGTAGTGGTTGTGATAGTTTCCCTCGAAACAGACCAGCAGAACAAAAGCGTCAACATTTACTAAATCTGATTGCTGGTTGACCTTATGATTCATTGCAACTGAGGATGTATGTTTTGTAAAATAATTACCCTTTTAAAACTCTACTCGGTCAAAGGATAAATTTTTTTTCGCTGTCAATCACATTAGGAGACTTCCAATGGGACACCCTCCTTCCATGGGGGGTGGGACTGCAGTTAAGAAGTGGAATGTCTCAAATAATTGCATCTTACTCAGTAAGTAATTTGTAGTTTTGAGAAACCTCATGTTTAATAAAGCTAACCAGTTGTATTACAAATAGACAAACCAGGCAAGAAATTTCCAACTATCAAGTGATAGACAGTGGAATACTTTCATAACAAATGAGGGCCAACAGAATTATCTTCAATGTTCAAAAATGGCCATCAATAAATCAATGTGTATAAATGTTGTGTATGATGCCAGTTACTTGTTTGAAGTTTTCATAACCTCCAGAAGATTTGACCAGAAAGCTTTTTTTCCTCATTTATCTCCTGTAAAATTTTTAGTTTTTTGTTTTCAACCTCTTCTTTTTTACCTTGATATTCCCTGAGAAATTCAAGCATTTCGGACGCTGAGAATCTGCTTCTTCGTTTCTTTGAAGGGCGTTTGGAAGGAGCCTTCTTTTTGTCGGGTGGTGCACATGAATTTTCGCCGTCTTCAGATGAGCTCTCTCCATAATCAGAAATGACTGTAGAAGAAGATGATTCCAGAGTGAAAGTTGGGTTGACACTACTTTGTCCACCAATACAATCTTCCATTTGTGCATAATATTTCCACATATGTGTACCATTTCCGCTCTTTTTGTTGTGATCAACAATCTCCCTTTGTTTAGCCTCTAATTTCGCCCATTTCCTTAGGCACTGGACACCAGACACTCTTAAATCTGACTTTGCTTTGAAGTCGGCGGCGATCTTTTCAAAAACTTTTTTTTTTTGTACTTTTTCCATTACCAACGGACGATTTGTTTTCCTTCCAGCAACGTATTAACATTTGCACGTGGCGGTCCTCCCATCTGCCTAGATTTTCTGCATTTAACAGAACGTGACTAAGCTTTTAATTTAGAGACCGATAGGGCATAAGATTAATCTCAAACTTATATTAAGTTAAGCTCAAGTGGAAACCATCCATAATACATAGCCCACAAAAAGTTTATGAGCTTATATCGTAAGCACAAGCTTAACTAATTTAGACTTGCTTTAAATGACTTGTAATAAATTAAACAAAGTTTGTTTTGCTGCTCGAAACGATGTCAATGCAAGCTTGTAAGGTTGTGCTTCACTATTGCGTACTTTATGAACCCTGTTTATGAAATGAAGACAGACCACGGTCGTGAAGTGATAGATGACAGGGGACATGAAAATGTTATTCAAACATTTGTGACACACTCGGCGTAGCTGAGTACATGATATCAGATTACAAAACAATTTTTCCGTTTGATCTACTTATTTTGAAACATAATCCACTGTATATAATGGAAGATGTACCCTTATTCTGGTCTATCTGCAGCTGCTATGGTTTATGATGTTATCATATCAAAATTCACCCAGGCTGCAGATGGCCTGGAAGAAGCTGGTCAACCTCTTGCATTGGATAGTCATTGCAGATTTGCCAATTATTCAGAGCCATGATTGCTGCACTTGAATCACTCCAGGTAGATTGTTTCAGACAAAGCAACTAAATAAAAAAAAATCATGGGAAAGAAAAACTGTCTAGTTCATAGATGAAGGACATAACCAATCACATAAATTTGACCCAAAAATATTATAGCAAGAACATGTCACTTTTGTAAAAAACACAATCTATAATTAAATGACGAACAAGTTGTCAGCTATGTCACTGGGTTAAAACAGCTAATTTCTAAGGTGTATGTTTACATATTAGACTAAATTATTTTAGAATTAATCTACAACACGAGAAAATTTACCTGCCTGCATAATCTTAAATAATTGTTTGATAATTGTTTAACCCTTTCACTCCCAGGAGTGACAAACAAGGAATTTCTCCCTACATTACATTCATACATATCCAAACAGAATAGTTATAATTATCAAAAAGCGGATATTACTTGATTCAGTGTGTGATATTGATCTTCACAGAAATGAACACTGCTTTTCTGAACTTGAAAGCATCGCCAGGTGGCACGTCACACTGAGTTGTAATGCCCTCCTTATTATTTTCCAAAGCGATACAAATCTTAATTTAAAAATAACTTTGTAACTACAGTTTTACTCTATGTTACAGGGTAAAAACAGCGAGATATTATCGGAATAATTCGCAATCCCTCATGACAACTAGCATCATACAAGCGAAATAACTGGAGAATGGCACAGGGTTGAATGATTCATATTTAGATCTTGGGAGTGGAATGGTTGTGTAACGTTTAATAAACCTCCTTAGCGATGGCGACACTACATCAACGCAACAAGATGGCCCACCCGATTTTCCCGCTCTCCTCCTTTTGTCCTGGGGCGAGACTAGCCTCGTTTCCTAGCAACGTTTCAGTTCTAAAGATACTCTACTGTACATAAAAAGTCTGATATAACCCAAATTTTTATTTACCTGTAGCTGTGATTTCTTGTGGTGTTGTCACATTAATAGGAGTATGGAAATTAAAATTGTCAAGTTCTCTAGTGGAAAGACCATTATTGTGCCCCACTTATTATTTTCCAAAGTGATACAAAAAAGTGAACTGCATAATACACGTGTTTTATCTTAAATTTTGCAAAGGAATGGCTCAGAAGAAAAGGTATTCACATTCTAAGGTTTAAAGCTTGGTCAATGTGCAGAAAGTCATGATCGTTGATGTTGCCCTTCACAAAAAAGTTACCATCAAACCCGGCCTTTGGGTGGAGTATTGAAACACATATTCAACATCCCTGAGGGGGACACTGAAACTTAGATTTGATGGACTCATAATTCAACAAGCAGCACTGTTTCCAGCATATTTTCAAGTGTTCTTTGGCCATATTTGAGCCAAATATTTATATCGACCTTAGCAGAAAATAAATATTTAACCAAAAAGACATAGCTGACGGATCAAGAAGCTGAAATTTTCATTGAAAAGCAAAGGTACCCAAGAACAGATAAGGAAACGAATTTCAATTTCATACACAAACCATACACGTACACAAAGGTGATACCATTTGAAGTTCTATTCAGAATAATGTAGAGAACCAAGTGGCCTCTTATCTCCTTTCTGATTCTCAGTCGGAAGACTCGAAATCCTTGAGCATTTGCTCCGCGTCTCTTATCAATTTTTTGGCGTACAAGCGGTGCCCTTTACACTTCTGTTTTCCTTTTGAGGCCATATTCCAATGAGCTTATTCCAGGTCCGGGTTGAAGGACCATGTAAAGAATTTATTGGCTGAATCCTTCTGTGTTACAAGGCTCAATTTTCCGTAAGGCTCTAATTCTCGAATTCGCTGTTCTCTCTATAAAATGGGATCATTATCAATAGCTGGGAACAGACTCTTATATGAAACTACCATGACGTTTTATTCAAAACCCCCTAATGTAAATCATCATCGTTACACAGCGACAATATAGAGGTCCAAATATAAAACCCCTGGATGTCAAGTACGGTTCTGACCTTCACGATCGACGATCGATATCAACATCTGCGCGCAGACCCCTGGATGTAACATTTTACCATCGCAATAAACAACTGGACACACGTTTATCATGGAAGTGACATTTTAAGTTCAATTAATCAATATCAACATCTGGGCACAGAATACGCACTGTATGTAAAGAGTTACGATCAACACAGACCCCTAACCATAAGATACTAAGATAAGTAGCAACATCTGCCTACAGCCCATCATGTAAGACACATTGATTAAAACCCATGGATGTAAGAAACAAC